CTGAACTTTTATTACCTGCAGTAGATTGCAGTGTTACTGCTAGGCGATCGAGGGCTGGTTGTTTAACCATTTTCTGATGTCCATCCATTGACTGCTGTGTAAGCACCTTGCAGGTGATGAACGCTCAGCGGCACAAGGTCACGCGCACCTTAGATAATAACGTTACTTACCGTTTAAATTCAAATAAATGCAGCAGACAATTTATTTAACCACAATTACAATTTATTTTATTCCAACTATATTCTTCTTATTATTATTATTATTATTATTACTACTATTATTATTATTATATATGTAATATTTTTCACTTTTTTCATTTTTCATTTTTCAAATGAGGGTGCATAACGTCACAACTGAGGGTGCAATGCACCCTTATGCTCCCCCGTAGAACCGGGCCTGACCTGTTTGCTTCTCTAAACTGGGGATGTGCCACCGTTTACTGCAGGTATAACACTATGGATAAGTACCTCGTACAACCCCACTTCAAACAACCTGTACTTTACCACTAATATTTGTTTGCGATTTAATGCCAGTGAGAGAGAGTTACCTGGATGAAATCTGCACAGGCGTACTTGGCGATCTTTTTCGACACCATGTTGTTTAGCTGCTGAGACAGATCTGCTTCCTTATCGTCCACGTCCTTTTTTAGCACCACAAAGGCATACACACCTGACAACAAAGAGACAAATCCTTACTATGGTGGACATTATAAGTTAACATTGAGTATTCTTTTTTAATATAATGTTGGGAAGACATTTTTTGACTCAAAATATATTTTCTGCCCACCTTGTCCTTTGATGTCATGCGAGTATCCGATGACAGCAGACTCGGCCACTGCAGAGCATTGATTCTGTTTCAGGGATCAAAGAAAGAAAATAGTTTGTACAAATCGCTGCTAAAAACATTTTAAGAAATAACTTTATTTACTCCTTTATTGCTTTTATAAACAACTATGGACATATTGGCCATTTAGAGAACTTTGTTCTTTATTTCAGCCCACTAAAAACATAGTTTTAGCTGTATGTTGGGGAAGAACAGACACACATGTTTATCATTGTTTTGACCTACCACCACGTCCTCTATCTCTGCTGTCCCAATCCTGTGACCGCTCACATTGATGACATCATCAAGGCGTCCAGTGATCTGGTAATACCCCTCCTTAGAGCGATAGGCGCCATCTCCAGTAAAGAAATAACCTATTGGCACAAAGAGTTATAGATTTAGAGACTGAGTTTTGTTCTTTACCAAAAACTAAAATCGTAAGAATTGAGTAACACGGTTTACCAGGATGAGGCTGACAGTAGGTCTCAATAAATCTCTGGTGGTTGTTGTGAATGGTGCGGGCCATACCAGGCCAAGGCTGAGCTAAACACAGAGCTCCTGATGCAGGGTTTGAGGTCACCACTTTTCCCTGAGGAGAATTATGGTACCACTTTACAATAAGACTATCCTTATAAAGGGTTTACGAATAGTTTGTAATTAATTTATTAATCAGGTTGTGAACACTTTATAAATCCTTAATAAGCTTTTATAAGACATGAGATAAACAGGGCAACTGTGACCGGTTGCTTGCCAAATAGTGAGCCCACATTTATCTGTACTGCTAAGCCTTATTAGAAATGGTAGTAACTCATGAATAAATTACATTACATTTCATTTAGCTGACGCTTTTATCCAAAGCGATTTACATTGGACCAATTCAGGGACCATTCTCCTGGAGTAACTAAGGGCTAAGCCTTACATGCAAGGGCACACTAGTGGTGGTGATATCTTGGCGGGATTTGAACTCACAACCTTCCGATCTTCAGCCCACCTCACTATCCAGACCACCTCTATCCATTAGACCACCACTATCCCATAAATGGGAATGTGTTTTACACTTTACAACAAGGCTCCCTTTTGGCAACTATAAATGTTGGTGACTCGTAAATAAATGGTCATAAGAGATGCCAAGAAACATCAAGATGGAAGGGGGGAATCAACTCCGTGAACAACAGATACCAAGGATGCTGGCTGATGAAGAAGACGAAGTAAGCTAGGTAGCCAATATAAGGCTTAGTCATCTTGCCAATATTGCCCTATGTTAGAACTGGTTTATAAATGGTTCTTAAAGTGTTTACAACCTAATTAATAACTTAATTATAAACCCTTTATGACTCCTTTATAAGGGTAGTCTTATTGTAAAGTGGTACCGGATTGGGTAAAAGGTGATCAACGTTTACACAAACAGTAAATGTCTAATATACAGAAAATCATTTTTGTGAGTGCAAAAAATATATTCAATTCATGTCATGGTGAGGGAGATGTGATTGAGGTACAAACTAAACAAGAATGAAACAACACCTACAGAATCTTCCTCTTAAATTAGGAAAACAGGCACAAGAAGAATGCCACAGTGAGGCCTGTGAAACCACTTTCCAAATGCTGTGTGTTTCTGCTTGAGAGGAAGCATGATGAGCTCAGCACACTCCAACTGTCTGCACAATCTGTGCGTTTCAAAAGCAACCGCAATAGCCGCACAAAATACAATGACAGATTTTTTAATAGGGAGTTTGGCACAAACAGATTGGGCCTGACGGGTGGGAGCAGGGCGAGTATCAAAAGTGACACAGCTGGTGAGTATTTTATAATCCTAATCTGACCCTCGCTCAGGCCGTTCCCAGCCATAAAACATTTTCAGGGACAACATGCCCCCCCCCACACACACACACACCTCGGTGTCCATGAGCACGGGCTTAATGCCGAAGAAAGGTCTCATAGCCATTCCTGGGACAATCTCTGCGCCTGGGTCCGAAGGCCGTGGGGTGATGCAGATGCCACCTGTCTCTGAGAACACAGAGCAAAACAGGGCAGATTAGAAACCAGCTGTCAATTACTATATGTGTAATTATTATAATATTTATTCAATATGATCAACGAATCAATTAAAAAGCTATCCAGAAGAATGGGTATATCAAGGGTATATATTAAGACTAATCTGTTTGGAAACACATACATACAATCTGAATTGTATCAACTACATCTTGTATAGCACTGCAGATGCGCCAATACAGAGTGTAAAAATAAAAAAGTGACAGAAGGAAAGTATAGATGACAGAGCCAACTAACAGTCTGTAAATCTGGCATAAACCTGTCTCATTGCTACAGATTTATATTTTGGAGTTACAGCCATACTAAGTAAATTAAATTAGGTCTGCCTAAACCTCAGGGGCCCCAATAATCCGCCTGGTGGTGTTGGTTGCAACAGTGCCGGATACAGCAGAGGGGATCCGTTATAAAGTAGGACACAACAGATGATCCCACAGTAGCATTAGCAGCTAACATCCTGTTCAAATCAACTGTGGAAATTGTACACAACTATGATTTTAATGATTACTTGTTTAGCTTAATTCCTTTTACTGCAAGTTATTTTATATACCCTACTATAAAATGACATGATTGGGCTTTTTCTTTACAGTACTATGACCTTTTAGTCTTTTACAACATACTACAGTATGACTTATCTTTAATCAGAAACTATACTGACTTCTTTCACTTTTTTATGGCATTTTAGGGACATAGTATACTATTACTTTGCATGGCTTGCTAATATATGACTATCCTTTAACTTTCTATTTGCTGTTCTCTGCAGGAACTGATCACAAGTCCACAAGTTTGGCTTCAAAGGACTGAGAGCCTGTTAGTTGCAGGGCGCCATAGCAACACATTTTGCTCGCCTATTTCAACCGGCTCTGTGTCAGTGCAGTGTGAGCTAAAGGAGGCCCCCTTTCTGCCTGTGATGTTGATGGGAACAGTACCCACACTGTGATACAACTGAGCGGGTTGAAAATCTTCAAAGGATTTATTTATTGGTATTTGTTTACTAGGTTATGCTCCTCAGATGAAGTTGTATAGGGCGTGGTAAGAAGTTAGGTGCTTCTTCCTTTAGATCTGAAAACACCTGCTACTATCCTTAATGAACAGATTATATTAAGATCAATTGTTACTTATAAATTCCTGTAAAAATATGTTACAGGCTATCAACTTTTTGTGTCGTTTTTTGCATATATTCGACATGCGATATGTCGTTTTTTTCTCATATTTTCAAAATACTACACTATGTAGCCACTTCTCATCCTCCTCCATACTCTCACCTCTGTAGTCCTGTGTGAACCAACATGGAGTATATATGCCAACAGCAGATCAAAATCAAATGTTCTCTCTTAACAGGCTACTTGCTCCCAGATCAACCAAATGGCATTTATGAATAATGCCACTTAGTCCTGATTGGAAAAACTGGTGCGGGAAAATAATATAATCCTTTTTACTGAAGTAGGGTATTTGGGTCATATCTGTGTCTGTAATTCTCAAGCTCATGATGTTCTAATGTTTAATTATCATCCATTAATTATAGATTTTTGACATGTGTATGGTAATTACCGCAGCTTTGCTCCATTTGGTCATTACTCAATCTAATTTAGGGGACTCAGGATAAAACCCAGTGTCAGTCGGGTCGTTTGTTTATCCGCAAAATTGAATTTATTAGCAAAATCAGCTGATTTCAAACAAGTTGTCGTTAGTTCCCACCCTAAGCTGCTTTAGTAAGGGAATAGTTGTTATTTTTGCAGTGACATCCGTGGTTATCTAAACATGGAGGACAAGTTTGTTGAGTCTCACAAAATGCAATTACTGTACATATACTTTCACTGTAATGTATTCTGACACAATTTAGTCAGTAAAATATACAGTGTATAATTTATTTCACTGTGTCGTCGTGAGCAATATAATTTAAAAAATATTTATATTTCAATTTTTCAATTTAGTATCTTATTAAAGAGGGCATCAAATATCAAAAATAAATATATTATTACTTTGACAACTCATATATATTATCTTTCCTATATCTCTATGTTCAATATGGAGGGAAGTTGAAGACCGTTTTTACATTTGACACCGTTCTGGGAGGAGCACAATCTGCATTATAGAGGAGTCTGATAGTGGGAAGTAGATAGAGTAATCTGAGTCACTCCAGGCAACCGTTTTTCATTTTGTTGTTTGGTTTTTATTGCACCCATAAATCTGCATTCCTTTGGTCAGAGTTGATCCAAAGTTCAATTTATTCCCGATGCACTTCTCCACAAGTTGAATGTAGTTCATGCCTTTGTTACCAAAATCACATCTTCTATTATAAGAGTAAAACATCTGGTTTAAATCAGGAGTCCAGAGGGAAGTGGGAACTCTTTTCCTCTTGTGTGTGTGTGTGTGTGTGTGTGTGTGTGTGTGTGTGTGTGTGTGTGTGTGTGTGTGTGTGTGTGTGTGTGTGTGTGTGTGTGTGTGTGTGTGTGTGCGTGTGCGTGCGTGTGTGCGTGCGTGCGTGCGTGTACTCTATACACACCCACATGCTGTAGCAATGTGTATATATAAGCAGTTGGAGAGTCATAGCTCTCCCCTTTAAGAGTGGCTGAAGGTCCATTTTAGGGCCTGCATACGTGGCTTTGTTTGAGGAAGAATTTGTGAACCTAACCCCCCCGACAAGCAATGCAATGCTACTGTGAGACTCAGAGCATGAGACAAAACCAAGCTCAATGTCAACAGAATACATTTGATTAATTTAAATTGATGGAACACTTTTCTGGTTAGAAGGGAAACTAAAGGGAAATACTGTAAAACAATATGAGGCATTATTTAATTAATTGATGCATTTTGGAGTAAACTGCAGACACAAATATATAAAGTTAGTAAAATAAACACTAAATGTGTATATTAGAAGTTTTCTTTGCACAATGCGGAAAGAAGACGATGTTAAGAAAGCAAAATAGCTGTATAAAAACAGAGACCGAGAACAACAACATTTGTGTCGACCAAAAAGTGTCAGCAAAAATCTGATAGATCCCACAATTGAGGGTATTCCTGTTACCTGTTTGCCACCAGGTGTCCACCACAGGGCAGCGTCCGTCCCCCACCACTCGGTGGTACCACTCCCACGCTTCAGTGTTGATGGGTTCTCCCACTGCAGACAGCCAGGGACAACATCCATCATTATATATTACAATATATTATCGTTTGTGATTTAGCTGTAAGCTTCATGACTCAAATGAACAGGTGTGTGTGTGTGTGTGTGTGTGTGTGTGTGTGTGTGTGTGTGTGTGTGTGTGTGTGTGTGTGTGTGTGTGTGTGTGTGTGTGTGTGTGTGTGTGTGTGTGAGAGAGAGAGAGAGAGAGAGAGAGAGTGAGATCTCCTGGCATGCTGGGCTTTGCTATGGCATGCTCACATACCAGCATAGGCTTGACTTTCAATATCCTTACAGTACGTAACACGTGTGCTTAAAGGACAGGAACTGTATGGTAACTTGGAATGTGTGTTTGTGTTATGTTCCTTTAATGCCCAGCTCTTGTGTACATGATAGTATTTCCAAGCGTCATGTTTGGCATACCAGAGCCGAGGGTTTTGAGGGTCGAGCGGTCATATTTCTGCACCCACTGGTCTCCGTACTTCAGCAGCAGGCGGATTGCTGTGGGAGCTCCGTAAAACTGGTTTATCTTAAGTCTCTGAACCATCTCCCAGTACCTTCCTATAGAAAAAAGTGTAAGTTATCATGGTCCAAAGACATATTATATAATATGTTGAGAAGATATTGCATTCTCAGATAAAGCAGAGGCCTGAGAACTGAAGACTATTTATTCCTGTTGTAGTTTCTCCTTGACAATAACAAGGTGACACACATGTAGTGACATGTGTAAGTTCTAATTGTAGTGTGGGTGATAAGCAGAGTTCAAATCCAACTGTAAGCAGTTATTCATAGACAAAGACACATGAGATTGCAGCGCTCTGAAGAAAGGACAGGAATATTAAAAATGTCGGTGAACACCCTTTACACAGACATTTATATTACTATTATCATAAAAGGCTCATTATAACGACACCATTAAAGCTAATTCAAATGGTAAACATGTCGAATTTTACAACTATATTTTTTGTTATTTTAAGATGAGTTTTCCTTTTATTATGAATTAGACAACCAGTCTGACATATTCAGTTGTTTGCTGATTTTCATACCAGGGTCAGGGTAAATGGGAGTGCTTTCAAACAGGACCGTGGTTCCCCCGTTAGCCAGCGGCCCGTACACACTGTAGCTGTGTCCTGTTATCCAACCGATGTCCGCCACACAGCCGAACACATCTCCGTCCTCGTAGCTGAAGACATACTGGTGATGAGAGGGAACACTGATGGAATGATCGGATAAAAAGAGAAAAAGATACTGTGTTTTGTTTCCATTTCCCCTCTGAAAAACCCTAAACAGCAAGCTGAAGAGGTGTGACTATATCTTGAACATTTACATTAACAACTTAACATAAATAAATAATGCTTAAACTAGAATAACTTCATTTGAAACACATCTTTCATTCAAGAAATGGAGAAAAAAGTGCTTCTCAAAAAGACAAATATACATTGAATGAATATTAGAGTGCAAAAGTGATGGAAAATAGATCAATAAATCACACTTAATAATAGAAAGAATAAGATAACGTAGAATGCATCACATATGATGCAGCAGGTCTCCCTTGAGAAAGAGATCGATGATCTCAATGGGATTCACCTGGTTAAATAAAGGTTTTGAAAATAAATAAAACCTGTTAAATAATTATAATTTAAAAAAAGAAAACCAGTTCCCATATTTGCCGCATTCACATTAAACACTGTAGCAACACCAACAGAAGGTATCCACTTTTTTACTTTGTTCTAATCTTTTTTTACAACGTTGATCGAGATATTCCGAGAAAAATGGCACTCGCTACCAAACAAATGGTCAAACAATGAATATTATGTCATATTTTGGCTGTCCAAGGCCGAGGTCATGAAATGCTTCCCACTCTGCATACAGTGCAGGGGATGTTGTTGTTTGTTGTTTACCCTGTGTGTGAGGGCAGCGTACAGCAGGTATCCAGCCTGAGTGTGGACGACTCCTTTGGGCTTCCCCGTGCTGCCCGATGTGTAGAGCAGGAACAGAACGTCCTCACTGTCCATGGCCTCCGGCTCACACACCACGTCCTCCTTCAGCATCTCCTGCAGGACACAATGACTTAAGAGGATTTCGTCTTTGTCATTCCTATCAAACACAGAAGAGTAGTAGAGCAATAGAATACATAGATTATTTTGTTATAACTCTGCATTGGACGATTTAAATATTTCAAGTCATGGTTATCCTGGTCAAAATCATTGGGATTCTCGATATTATCCCAATGATTATCAGAATATGCCTAAAACTCTTAAAAAGACACTTCTATTATTATTTTTTAGGTTTTGTTAAGAAACAAATATTTGTATTGAACAACAGATACAACACACACACACAATAGGGAGAATCCTTTTTTTTGAAAAACAAACACTAAATCTAATTGATTATCATAAATACCCAAAAATGCATGAATAAATAAACAAATAAATGTATTAATATCAAAAATAATAATAGTATAATAAAAAAATAGCAAATTTGTGTGATTCTTCAAAGAGAATATTCCTGTATTTTTTCAAATCTGTTTTTTTCCGCAGCAGCTTTTCCAGGTTGATATGCAATACACTCGTTAATCATTCCAGCCCTGTTTAAAACATGGTGCAATTAAATGCAATCTTAATTTGTAGGATGCAAGAGGGGAACAGTCTAACATTCATATAAGTATTAGGATCAGTGTTTAAACAATTACCTGACAGAACAACCAAAGTCCAAATCAGCTGTAGTGAAGTTTTATTCCTAAAGTCTACATTTCTTTCTCTTCTTCTGAATTCAGGAGAAAGTGACACAGTGTTGGCATTAATATCTCAATCAGCTCCCGATTGGCTTTTTGCTCTCTCACCTCCTCCATGTCCATGTCCTTGGCTGTCATGGTGACCGGATTCTCTGTTCTCATGGCAACCAACACCTGCTGTACAGAGGGGCAGTCCTTCACGGCCGCGTCCACCGTCCTCTTCAGCTCCGTCACCTTCCCCGCTCTCACACCCTGGTTCACCGTGATCACCGTGCTGGACTGGGCTGAAAACATGTGGAACATATTCAATTCAATGTACTGCCATTGTCAGTTGTTTATTGCTAGGTAAAAAGCATAAAGCACTCTTTAGTGCACCAGTCAATCCTCAAATTAAATAGAGTTAAATCCCAGATCAAGCGTACAGTAGAGGGCCTTGAACCCGTTTTCTCTTCAGTGATGAAACTGATGTAGCTTAGGAAATAGAGGTAATACTATCTAATTTAACAAACTGTATTTTTGACGACTGTCTATTGAGCTGCTAAGTTCTCACAAGATATAGTCCTTAAAAGGCTATGATTATTCATACAACACAATCCCTCTCAATCATGACTTATGATGCAATAAGTGTCTGTATCTGTAGAGACCTTGTGACCTTCTGCCTGTATTTCCTCATATTTTCCAGTATTTGTTTCATTTTGAGGGAAAAAACATGTTTGCGAACACTGTAACCTTGTTGAGAAAGGAGGCCTGACTTTGAATGTTGTGTAAACTATGACTGTCTGTTGTTGGTGCTGTGCATGTAATGTTTACAGTGGGTTTATTACATTTTTTGAAAACAGGGTTAATGAGAGCAGTGAGACCCTTCCAGTGAGGTTCCGGCCTTTAAAGCCAAAACAAGGAGCTGAAAGACTCTGAAATGCTTGTGAATAAAAAGTCATTGTTCTCTGACGTAACACAGTCTATTGGTCCATTGTTAAAGAATGGATAAGTTCAGCTCTAAAGTGGGACATCTTCTCACCGTCTCTGATTCGCTCTGCGAGGGCTTCAGCGCTGAACCCGGCAAACACCACGTTGTGAGCCGCACCGATACGGGCACAGGCCAACATGGACGCCACAGCCAGAGGGCAGGGGGGCATGTAGATGGTGACGCAATCCCCCTTCTTCACGCCATGCCGTCTCAACAGGTTTCCTAGGCGACATGTCATCTCCAGGAGCTGCCTGTAAAGAGATTATAAATGAAGTACTAACCCACATGAACAAAAGGAGCACGAACAACACACATATGTATTAAATCCAAGCTGCTGACCTGTAGGTGACCTTGATCTCTGACCCCGGTTCATCTCTTTCCCAGATCAGGGCCACCCTCTCAGGACAGGTGTGCACATGTCGGTCCAAGCAGTTCACTGTAGGCGCCATTCACAAACCAGAGACAAACAGATAGTAAATGTAACTTCATCTGCCAAGTCATCGTGCTGCGTTCAAGGAGTGCTTTAATTATATGTGCTGATCAAAACTGGTTGCATAATGATGCCTTCGCTGTCTCATGTTTCATTGAGAGGTTAGGCAAGCAGAGGTGGAAGAAGTACTCAGATTAATGACTCAAGTAAAAGTAGCAATACTACAGTGTAAAAGTATTCACTTACAAGTCAAAATATTGTCACTCAAAACATTTTACTCTGGTGAAAGTAAAAAGGTATAAGCATGAAAGAATATTTTAAGTACCAAAAGGATGCGTTTTTTAAAATAGCCATTTTAAGCCCCAGATTTTTGTATTATTATATTAAATGTATTCAAATCATTGGGGCATTAATGTGTTCATCACTTCAATGTTGCACTTGGTAAAGGTAGGGTTTATTTGAGTTACTTAAAGCACTACTGGGTTCGAGCTTAAGCTATAATAATATACTATAGGTTATATATAATGTGTGTTGACTTGATTTATATTTTGTATTAATAACCTAAATCTTCAAAGTAACTATGAATGTAGTGGAGTAAAAAGTTGAACATTTGCCTACACAATATCGTGAATTCAAAGTTTGAAGTAGCTTAATGTCAAGTAAAGTAGAAGTATGTTTTAAGTACAGTACTTAGTTCCATTACACCACTGTTGGCATGTAGCTGCCTCCGATTAAGCCTTCGCTGCATCGATCAGTTCATTCTAACGATCAAATCTATTTCTATGAGTCTAATTATAAGTAATATTCTATTTAAAAGTGATTATATTACCAGACACATTGAGCTGTCCTCCCTCAAACCACTTGATCCTCCCCAGGCTCAGGTCGCAGTCCTGCACGGTGTGGAAGGGTTTGATCCAGCTCAGCCTGTGGCGCGCGGCCGCGGCCCAGAAGCTCGCGCTGTTGGAAACGGAAAACTCCTGCAGGGACGAGCAGTCCTTCACACCTTCAAACCCAACAGCCTCCGGCATTAACGCCGCTACATTACATTTCCATCGACCAAAAACACGGAAATACGACTTAAAGACCCGACGAGCATAGGAAGTAACGATGGTCTTTGAAGTGCACCCACAGGGGAGCCACATACTGACAGTGAACGTATCCTGTGCAAACTGCGGCTATGTTTGCAAAGAATCTGCGTTCGTTTTTACCTATGGTTTTTACGCGGTTTTGGAAGTTACTCTGCTCAACTTTACTGAGGGAAAACTTGATAAACTCCGTGGAGGAAGGGCAGGACGAGTGATGCGTTAAAGGGCGGTACAAAAACCCAATGTGTCGACACTTTTTGCTCCTTGAGCTGCAGCCAAGTTTCATAATCAGTTGTAAAAGAAAGGAAAACATGGTGGTTTTTGTTCAGGGGTTTGTTCCAGATATGTTCATGATGCATAATGCATAATGCATTATGCACAATGATGCATAATGATGCAATACGGCTGACGTATAAGCTCACAGCTTGCCCTAAATGTAGAACTCATGAATATGAAAATATCCAATGGTGAATAAACATTTCTGAAGTTTGACTACTGGACACAAGATTGGTTTCCAAGATTCAGATATCATGGAGTGGCGATTAGTCCCTCCCCTTCCGGTGGACCTCCATGGGACCTTATTTCGAAAATGAAGAGAGAAAGATTATCTTTCGATCCCGTTTGAATTGTGCCACGAATTAACATAAGATGTTTGTCAATTTAAAAGATAATTTTGCAAGTCAAAAAAATAAATAATGTGTCGTAAAACTGTGAAGTAACACATGTTTGTGTGTGAAACGCTCAATGAACTGCATCTCTGGTCTCGCACAAAAACACACGTCACCAACATGGCCGTCACTAATGTCTTGTCATCAAAACGATTGACTACCCTCACTATCACCACAATGAAACACGTCCAGAAGAATGTCATGCCAAGCTGCCTGCCTGCCTTCCTTTGATTCTCTCTGAACTGCCTGGTCTCTTTAATGTTTAATGTCAACCATTTGTGCAGATAGAATGAAGTAGAAAAGATCGGCGATCGCCGATGCTAGCGTTACCATTTCTCCCCCGGGCTTAAATTGTGTATTATAGAATGATCACACCGGTGACAGTACTCTTCAAAGGGTTCACGAAATGTTAATATAATATTAATACTCTTACTGTTTAACATTTTGGGTTACTTAATATTATTTCATATTAAGGCTAATAAAAATGACAAGGCTGTAATGCTAACTAACGTGCTAGCTAGGTAGCTAACTTGATCCAGCCACTCCTGGTCCTTTCATCAGACGGGAAGCGAAAGAACTAGCAAGACCCATTGCTGCTATGATAACAACCTGGTACTAAGCACACAGGCATCTTGTTAAAGTTATCTTATCTTAGCACTGGCTACAATAAGATAACTTTAACAAGATGCCTGTGTGCTTAGTACACATAAATCAGGGTGATGTGCAGTACACTAAAAAGCTCAAACACAGTAAATCTCAAACACCAAGGAGAAGACAAATCAAATCAAAACCCATTTCTGAGCAGAGGGGCTTTAAATATCAGTACATTTTATTCAGGCTACAGTTACATTTATACAGACACAGATCATTATTGTTAAGTGTAGATAACAGTACTATTGGACAATATTTGCAGTATGTACATCACAAGAGTTGTAACACGAAAGATTTAATCTTGTAATCTTTTCACAGGACTGATTTTCAGTCACCCAGCTGAAATTCCAGGGAGGTCAGAAGTCGCAATCATCTTCTTTTCAGCACCTTTTGAGCAGTTAGTCAATTTCCTGCTTCAGATGCTTGTTGAAAGAACCACACTGTTGCATAAAAGTAGCTGCCATGTCACAGAACTGTAAGGTTAATGATCTATTTTAAAGAAAATAAATATTTTTTTTTTTAACGTGGCTCCATAGCAGAAGATTTGCAGTAAATGTTAAAGAAACATGTCATAGCTCGAATATTTCTTAGAGCTGTAATAATGTAATTGGCTGACTTAGGAAACCACAGTTGTTGTAGCTAAATAACCTTTAGCAACCTGATAAGATCAAGAAAGGAAATACATTTTGATTTATTTATCTATGGTTATGATGTTTGATCTGCAGGTCTTATCAACCGTTATCAGCGACTCAACATGCATCAAGGTCAGACTCAACCAATACAACAAGACTTCTGCCTCTGAAGTGCAATCTCCGCTCTGCAGGTATTTTCACCGTCGGTCTGTTTTCTTGCATCTTATTTCAGTCACACTTCTCCACCTCTGCCGTCTCCTGCTTCGTCACATTGTCCTCAGCTTGTTCTTTGTGCGTGACATTTTTTCTTTCTGAAACTGTCCCGAGCACCTTGGCGCTGTGCTCCTGCGCCTTCGCTCGCAGCGCAGCGATACTGTTCTCCCTCAGTAACTCTTTAGAAATAGGTGTGTTAGTTGTGTCTTTCATCCTTTTCTCCGCCTCTTCCTCCATCACTTTGTCCATTGGTTTCTCCTGAGTTGGTGGGGGTGGTGTCAGGCTGCAGGGATTTCCAGGAGAGGTGTGTGGGATATCAACTGACTTCTTGTGCATTCCTGAAGGGAAAAGACATTCAGTTCAGTTAGAGTGTTTCCTTGTGACGTTTAAATGTCCTGATGCTTTTGGTTGATTGTGTACTGAGGTGTTTGACATTGGAATAAAGTGTGAAAGAGAAAGAGGATAGATCAGTGAATAGAACCTCTTATTCAATTAGAGGCAGCTAATTGATTCAAACCAATCAATTGACACGAGGGGAGCGGGGACATTTGGTCTAATCTGTCCTGATTAAGTGGGATTATCACTGTATCGACCCTTTATTGACATGCTGACACTTTTATTGGCTCCTAACATGAGCCGGGCTCAGCTCCCACTTCCTGTTAGAACCAATCATAAGCCCTGCATCAAACACCACGAGACAGACTAATATAGAAAAATGATGTTCATGTCAACAAGAGCAGATTTCTCCAGGGAACACGCTTTCATCATTGAAAAAAAAAAGGGCAAATAGTAAGTGTGTTTTAAAAAAATGAACAAAAACGTATATCTGCATCAGACAGACTGAGGACACTGAGGTAACTTCTTCAATCCGTGTAATACACAAGACAAAATCTAACGTTAATTCAATATTTATTCAATTAAAGCTCAGTACCTTCAATCTTTAGATACTTGTACGCAGGGCTGTTACTATATGAGAATGATGAGACCATATACAAAGTATTTATATGGGAATATGATTATTTTGGCAATCTTTGTGGAGGTTATATTATATGATATGATATTAGTAGACCTAGTATTATACCTGTGGTTTTATTACTGATAAAAGGCCAATGGCTATCTGAAATTCTCCCAGTGAACATGTTACAAACTCATATTTACCTAATAACCACGGGGCGTAGGAGTCTGTGACGCCCTCCTTGGCGGACTTGAGGATGGACTCGGGGAGGGGGATGGAGTGACGCACCATGGCTCCGTACAGGCCGTACTCCGCCATCACGCTGCTGCGACCCCAACACTTCTCCCTTTTCCTCCACTTGGCCCTGCGGTTCTGAAACCACACCTGGAGAAATGAAGGGCAGAGAAAGGATGAGTTCAGTTGATCACTGTAATGCTTGTTCTCTGCAGTATGGGACATTAATATATATACCCAACATTTATCATTCAGGCTACAACCAAAACATAAACAGCCTTCCACTCAATAATCTCTCCATTTGAGCTACACTCTGCAGGATGATGTATGTGCAGAGTGTGACACTAGAAGGCTGTTTTCACATTCAACCACTAAAGGGAGAGTTTCTCTCCTTAAATCTTTAGAGTTTACAGTGTGTTTGTACCAGAAAGAAAACCTCCAGCTTACAAGTAAGTATGGGAGATATATTGATCAAGCTCAATGAATAACATTCCTTGTTTCTTGTCCAAAATATTTGTCTTTGCTAAGGTTAGAAAGGTAGTATTATAAACATTTCAATATTTACATATTTATAGCCTCTGGATTTTATTAAAAAGAGAGAAAAAGAGCTGATTTATTAACAATGAATTGTATTTTTTAAATACAGAGCTAAATCAGAGAAATTATTATTCAAAGCAAAATGTTGCCTTTTTTTGGATGCATCCTAAAACCTGACATCTATCTATATCTATAATTAGGATTTAACTTTTTTTTAAATCCCAAGGAAACATCCCCTTTTCCTTTTGTAATCTCTTTGTAAAAGCGTTCTTAATTCTTCCTTGAAGCTGTAACAAAACAAAGTCACTGCTGTCTCAAAGAAGGAAGATTTTACCGTCTGGACAAGGAAATAAATATCAATGGAACAAGGACATCTGCTGGATGATTTATGAAAAGGGTTTTAATGAAGTACACTGGTTTTGAGATTCCCATTGGCCTTTACTCAGATTTTCTGGTAATAACCTGTATTTTTTACAAAAGCCCTGATATTTAGAGATAAATACTTCATTGTTTCATACATTATAAACAACATGTCTTTTGTCAGTTGTTTGTGTGCATGCCTGTGCATTATTCTCCTCCTGTCTCCTCTACTGCCTAAATTGATTTCCACCAAGCCGGGCCTCCAACAGCCTCAGTCAGCTTGTGAATATGGATGAGGACAACAGGAAAGAAATGAGCATCCTAAAATGGGCGAGGATGAGATTGTAGGGAATGGTTTGTGCTGGGTGTGTGCGTGTGTGTGCGCGTGTGTGTGTTCGCGTGTGTGTTCGCGTGTGTGTTCGCGTGTGTGTGCGTTTCACAGCCCTGGAATTAAAAACGATCAAAGCCGAGCCTGGAAAGCTATTCAGGTAGATCTGATGATAACCTCCATCTCATAAAAAGATGGGCCTCAGATGAGCAATCATGCTTTCTGACAGCAACAGTTTGAGTGTGCACGGCAGTGTGTGTGTGTGTGTGTGTGTGTGTGTGTGTGTGTGTGTGTGTGTGTGTGTGTGTGTGTGTGTGTGTGTGTGTGTGTGTGCTCGCGCGGTGTGTGATGTGTGTGTTGTGTGTGTGTTGTGTGT